CCCGTTTGCCAGGGACCTCGCCAACCAAAGGCCTGCCGCCTGCGTTGTCTGCAGCCGCGCCAGTCCCCGCCGGTCCCAGGCTGCCTCCTGCCTTGGTCTTCTGTAGCCTGCGTTGCCCGCCTGCGTCGGTTGTCGGTTGTCTGCTGTCGCCTGCGCCGGAGAATGAACTTCTTTCTGATCTTTCTGCTTCTACATCCAGAATGTGGGTTTACAGGTGTGTGTGACCAGGTCGAGATTATACGGGGCTAAGGATAGAACCCAGGGCCTCTTGTGCACGTCAGACAGGCACTTTACCAAATGAGCTACATTTGCACCATAGGCCTTGTTCTTAAAGGTCTCTTCTCCACCCACAGAAACCTCTGGGGACCATGTTTCCAGCACATGAATCTACATGGGGGGTATGTGCCACACACAAAGCATATATAAGTCTTTATTTAAAAGATTCTTTTACCCTGACCCCAGCATGCCATGGCCCTTCCAAATCCTGGACTTAATGGGGACTGCCTAACCTTCTTCTTCTTCTTCTTCTTCTTCTTCTTCTTCTTCTTCTTCTTCTTCTTCTTCTTCTTCTTCTTCTTCTTCTTCTTCTTCTTCTTCTTCTTCTTCCTCTTCTTCCTCTTCTTCCTCCTCCTTCCTCCTCCTTCTTCCTCCTTCTTCCTTCTCCTTCTTCTCTGCCCCTCTCACCCTTACTGAAAAGCTGGATACTTGCCGGAGAGCATCATGGGATCTCCGAGAGCCCATGACAACAGTCTGCTCCTCCAGGCTTTGCTCTCCTTTGCTGCTTCCAGACAGTTTCTCCCTGTTCTCCATCAAAGACTCACAAGTCCTTTGAAGTCCACACAGTTTTTGCTGCCATCCACTGACCTCTTTGTTACCCATTCTCCCACAAAAACGGTCACACTAGCTCTTTCCAGTGCTCTTCCTGTCTTGAAACAGTGGCATCTCTGTCCTGGTGGATGAGGCTGTGGACACTGAAGGCTCCCACTTTCTCGGCATGCTCTCCCGCAGTGATCCTTTCCTCCTCGATTTAACCACACAATCCTATGTTCACCCTTGCTGCTAACACCTCTACTAATCCTCTAGCCTCTGAAATCTCAGTTCCAGGCAAACTTGTTCGCACCTTCCACATTCTTTGGACACTTTAACCTCACTTAGACTAACCGTCCTCCGGCCTCAGGACACTGCTCATGTCCTCCCTCCCCTTAAAAGACTTCAGTTTGGTTTCTAGAGTCCTGCACTGACGTCACTTCCTTTCAATGTTTTCTTTGATTCTAAGATCCTCTTCTGGCAAAAAGAACCTAGCCCTGGTTAGACCTTCTAGTCTGACTCTGTCAGAGACAGCGAATAGAGCAGCAGTATAACATAGGCCAAGATATCCTCATCTTATTTTGATTTTTCAATTGCTGAGAATTGAACTCAGGGCCCCATGAAGGCTAGGCATGCGCTCTGGCCCTGAAATCCATCCCTATTTTTTTTTTTTATTATTGTAGGAGTAGAGAGCTAGGATCTCACATATGCTAGATAACCACTCTGGCACTGAGTTAATTTCCAGCCTTTTAAATTTTATTTTGAGATAGATTAACTTTCCCAGGTTGGCTCTGAACTTGAAGTCTCCCTGCCTCAGCTTCCTGAGTATCTGGGATTGAAAGCATCTGCAACCACGCCCAGCTATTGCCTGATAGTTACAAGCACAAATCTAAAGTGTGTTTTCTGCTAATGGTCTTCCTGCATACTGCCGGTTATATACTTACTTTCTCCTTCTGAAACAACTCTTTTGTTTTTATATTTCTCCAGATACACTTCTGTACATGCCATGTCTTCACCCTCACCATCCTCAGCTACTGATTTTTCTTAGAAGGGTTTTCTTCCACAGGACCAGGGTTTCATCACCATCACCATCCCATGCATAGTGTTTCACAATCATCTGTAACTTCAGTTCCAGGGGACCTGAAGCCCTCTGATGGCACTTCATGGACAAGGTGCACATATAGATATGGTGCACATATGGACAAGCAGGCACACACTGATACACAGGCCACATATGGACAAGCAGGCACACACTGATACACATGCCACATATGGATGAGCAGGCACACACTGATACACATGCCACATATGGACGAGCAGGCACACACTGATACACATGCCACATATGGACGAGCAGGCTCACACTGATATAATGGCACATATGGTCGAGCAGGCACACACTGATACACATGCCACATATGGACGAGCAGGCACACACTGATACACATGCCACATATGGACGAGCAGGCTCACACTGATACATATACCACACATGGACGAGCAGGCTCACACTGATACACATGGCACATATGGTCGAGCAGGCACACACTGATACACATACCACCTAAAGAATTTTAAACTGGGGTGTGGTGGTATACGCCTTTGATCTTGCCATTCAGGAGGTAGGCAGATCTCTGCGAGTTCAGATCCAGCTTTGTCCACAGAGTGAGTTTCAGTACAGGCAGGGTTATAAAAAAAAAAAAACAAAAGAATCCTATATTGTGGTGTACAGATTAGGTTATCTATTTTGCAGGCAATCCTACCCATTTCCAATATTAAAACAAAAAGAGTATGTGCTCTTGAAAAATCTCTGTAACTATAAATATTTGCGTGTGGCAGTGGGCATGCGCATACGAGTGCAGGTACTTACAGAGGCCAGAGGGTCAGATTTCTCTGGAGCACGGCAGCTGGGAGTCACTCAGCCTGGTTATTAGGGACAGAAGTCAGATCTTTTACAAGACCAGTAAATGCTCCCAGTCGATGAGCTATCTCTTCAGTCCCCACTTCCATGGTGTTAAAAACAAAGGAGAGACTAGCAAGTCCTGAGCTTGTATGTTCATGACCTCTTCTTGGAGTCCTGCCCTTGTACCTGTCTGGCCCCTCCCCATTGTTGTTTCATGACCCCTGACTTTTCCTCCCCACCAATCTCTCCCCTCTTCATCACCCACTTGATTGAAACAAAAAAAAAAACTTTAGTTGTCATTATTCCTCTCTCCTCACTCTCATTGTGCCCCCACACGTGGGAGAGAAAGTTCTGTAGCTCGGCTCTAAAAATACTTCTGAGACTCTGACGTTTTCCAGGGGCCTGTGACAGTCCCTGGTTTCACTCTTGTCCTGTGAACCCATTCATCTAAGAGACTTTCAAGAACCTAACTTGGGCTGTGTAATTGTCTCTGAAGTTCCTCCTGGCCTCTCTGCTCACGGGTCCTAGGCACCCAAGCAGCCTCCTGCTCCTGCAGCACACTCGGTGGTCTCTCCTCTAAGCCTCTGAGCTGGTGTTAGATGCTGCTCTTGTTTCTCTCTTTTCTTTCTTGGCAAACAAGTTCTCAGCTTAAGCACGCCCGCCCCAGCCTTCCTTGGCTTCCCAAATGCATGGTTGCCTTTCCTCCAGTCATTCTGACAGATGGCTACATGAAATTTCTTTCACATTTTTTCAAAATCATTTTCTTCACTTAATTTTTTAGCATTTATTTTAGCATTATTATTTAGCACAATCAAATAATTTATTTTAGCACTATCACTCTCTCTTTGAATGTGAGCTCCCTTTGAGTTATGATCATCTTTTGTGTTCATTTGCTTGTACTTGTTTGTTTTATGACATTGTCTTGCTATGTAGACATTGAACTTACCAACCTCTCCACTCAGCCTAGTAGATAAGTCATTGATGGTCTCAAGAAAATGGCCACATAATCCCAAATAGTTCTGTAAGGCAAAAAGGTAGAAAGATGCTTCTCTGCTAACTGCTTAATCAAGCAAGCACCCCCACAGGGTCCTGCGCCTCACTCTCAGTGCCTAGAACTCGGCTTTGCCTTCTTACCTGATTGGTTAATGGACTCTGTTGTAGTTGATAAGCACTTTAAACAATTTGAAAATATATTTTGATTTTGGAGAAAATGCCAATATTTGCATTTTTTCTATTTCTTTTTTATAATTTTCTATTAAAATAGCACTTTCCTCCTCTTGTTCAACGTTTTCATTGAGAATGCAGTACATTTTGCTGTGTTTCCTAAGGACCACCCATACTAAGATTATAGACTTCACTGTATTTGTTTCTGTGTTTATCTTTAAAAACTATTTTATTTTATATTCTATGTATATGGGTGTTTTGCCTATATGTTTTATGGACCGCATATGTTCCTAGTACCCAAGAATCTGGAGTTACAGACAGTCAAGAGCCACCATGTGGGTGCTGGGAGTCAAACCTGAGTCCTCTGTAAGAACAGCCAGTGATCTTAACCACTGAGCCATCTCACTAGTCCTTCGATATTTACTGCTCAATTACTGGCCTTAAGAATACCTGAAAGATGGTAAAAGCTCATCAGAAAGAACACAAGAAAGAAGGAAAAAAGGTTGGGGTATGGGGAGAACTTAGAAATAATAAGTAAAGGTCCAAGTCACATAGTCCACAAGTAGCCAAGCCACATACTAAACCCCAAACTGTATGCTCCAAAATCCACGTTCCAGGTCATCTCCCTCTGTCATGAAGGCATGTGACCAGGACAGCAGTAATGACACATTTCCAGCTAGCTCTCGTTGTTACCTGGCAGGAGAGAGTAATGGCTTTGCTCAGCTCAGATGTGGGAGCCAAGGCTCAGAAAGACAAAGACCACGGGCAAAACAACAAGAGGACAGGTCACACGTGAGTGAGGGACCTGACTTCCCAGGAAGCTCCTGCTCTTGTGCTGATAACCAAGTGACTCTTACGCATGCCAGTGGCTCACTGAGTCACTTGTCAGAGTCTGGGAGCTGGGCGCACATTAAATGTACTGAGGCTGAAAACAGCCTTGTTCCCGAGGAAAGCGGGGCTGTGGGGTCCTGAGACCCCTGCTCTTGAGCTACAAAGATCTCCAAAGCATACAACAAAGTGCTTTGGGGACCTGGAGGAACCAGGGGTACTTTGCTGAGCTGTAGGAAATTAGGTGCTTTAGATTCAGTTGAGCACATCCTAAGGTGAGCTTCTGTGTTCTCCACAGGTCTGGCCTTCTTGCCTGCCAGCGTGGCCTACCTCATTGGCACGAACCTTTTCGGTGTGTTGGCCAACAAGATGGGTCGGTATGTAGTCTGGGAAACTGGAAGAATGATTGAACAATCACCTGACGTTGTCCCTTGAGCTCCTCCCTGTGCTTGGGACAGCTTCTTTGAGACAGTCTAGGACACAATGATAAAAATTGCTGGGAGGGAGGTTGGTGGGCAGGTGATGGAGGAAGTATAGACAATGGGTTATCCTGCGCTGACTGCTTTGCAAGAGGCAATGGTTACAGAGAAATAGTCTTTCCTTTCTAGCCAAAGAGGAAATGCTACCCTTAGCCAATGGATGCAAAACAAAACAAAACAAAAAACAAAAAGGTGGTATGTATTTTGGGGCAACAGTTGTCACACTCTGTTCCGTGGAGCCCTAGGGAATTCTAGACAGGAACAGCAGAAGCCCACCATGGGGCAAAAATATGAGTCCAGATTCTCTTCCCCTACTACAATGACAAAATAACGTTTGTTTTAATTTTATCATTGTAGCTCAGCACAAATTTTTTTTATTTAATTAATTTTTTTCTTTTTTTTTCTTTTTTAAAAAATGATTTATTTATTTAGTATACAATATTCTGTCTATGTGTATGCCTGCAGGCCAGAAGAGGGCACCAGACCTCATTACAGATGGTTGTGAACCACCATGTGGTTGCTGGGAATTGAACTCAGGACCTTTGGAAGAGCAGACAATGCTCTTAACCTCTGAGCCATCTCTCCAGCCCAATTTTTTTCATTTTTCATTTTATATTCCAACTCCAGTTCCCCTTCCCTCCTCTTCTCCTGCCTCCCCACCTCCCCCTATTCTACCCCACCATCAACTCCTCAGAGGGGATAAAGCCTCTCTGGGGGACTCACTAAAATCTGGGATACCAAGTTGAGGCAGGACCAAGTCCCTCCCCACTGAATCAGTCAGCTCAAAGATTTGATAAATACATTTGAAAGTACTGTTATAGGTATGAAGAGGTATGCATATTTCCGTGTGGGTTTTTGAGATGGATTTGTCAGACCTCATATAATACGAGTAGGGAGATTCTGAACTGGGCTGGAGAGATGGATCAGTGGGTAAAGACACTGGCCTCAAAAGTCTAGTGACCTGAGTTCAAACTCCAGGACCCCCAAAAAGGTAGAAGAAGAGAACTGACTCCACAAAGTTGTCCTCTGACCTCCACATGCATGCTGTGGTGTGCTCCTCTTGGATCAACCCCCCCCCCCCCACCAACACACACACACTCCCACTCTCTCACACACAAATGGTAATAAATAAAAACTATAAAAAGGAAATAACCTGAACTGGCAAACACCAGTAATCAAATGCACGAGCAGCTTCTAAGAGCCGAGTGTCTTTGGGACCAGCAGACCGATTCCAAGGGAAATGAGCATATGTCCCATGGTACTACTCCTGAAACAAGCATGCATCCCATGGTACTACTCCTGACTCTGCTATGAGAAGAGCTGGGAGGGCAAGGAGGAGATGAGGTCAAGAGAAGGACAGGGACAGAAAGGCTTCAACCTGCTGCTGTAGTCTCATGCAGTCCCCTACCCTAATCTAAGGGATTGCTGGAATTAGGGTCTGGGGACTGGCCAAGGTGACAAGCAGTAGCCATCTCCCTGCAGACAGTGTATGACGATGGTTCTTTTCTTCCAGGTGGCTGTGCTCCCTTGTGGGAATGGTGGCAGTAGGTATCAGCTTGCTCTGCGTAAGTACAAGACCCAGTCGACAAAAAAAAAGTGCACTAGACATTTTAAGATCATTTTTCTTCAAATGGGCAGCAGGCTGACTTGGTAGGAACTTCTAGAAAACTATTTCTACATGAACAGAAGAAATTGGTGTTGGAGAAGCTGCCACCAACTGAAATGGCAAGTCATCAAAAGGAGGTGGAAAAGGAGAAGAATAGGGTTATGGGTGAGAGGGTCCAGAGGTCTGAGGCTGTGCACATAGACACGGGGAAATAAAACATGTTGGTATCTATTTCTGGAGCCAGCCAGTCAATGGTGTTTTGTGAATCCATTTATCCAATTTCCTGTGACAATTCCCACCAGCCACCAGGGCAGGTACCATCAATGGCTCAGTCTCTAGAACCAGAAAATGTGGTAGAAGAAAGATAGCAAAGATTTACATCTTCAGGAGCCCAGGTCTTTACTGTCTCATATTCTCAGTGGAGACCATCAGTCCATCAGTTCATTTATCTCCAGGCTCAGGGGTATGAGACCAGAGCTGTAGATCTTTGAGCACTGTACCCAGGATGAGCTGGAAACCCTGGTGACAGGCATGGGCTCAGGCCTGCATCCTAGCTTCGTCACTTGCCATTTGTGTGACTCTGAGCCATTCATGTCACCTCCCTGCTCAGGATTCTGCTTGCATGTCTGCAGCGTGGAGAGCGCACATGACAAGCCCTCACTAAGTCAGCCTTGCCATTGACAGCCATGAGCACTGTTAAAGGAGCTGTGGGTTGCATTCCTGCCGCCCTGCTCCCAGCCTCCTGGCTAGCTTATACCCTGAAATAACAACACACAAACTGTATTCATTTAAACACTGCCTGGCCCATTTTTATTAATGTGTGTAGCACCGAGGTGCGCTTACCGGGAAGATTCTAGCCTATGTCCATCCTGGGTTGGAGCTTCATCGCGTCTGCCCTGGAGAGCAGCAGCCTCGCATCTGAGCTCACTTCCTCTTCCTCCCAGCTTTCTGTTCTGTTTACTCCACCCACCTAAAGGCTGGCCTATCAAATGGGCCGAGGCAGTTTCTTTATTAGCCAATGACCTTCCTCCATCAGAGCACCTCTTGAGGTGTTGCACTATAAGGAGCTATCAATGCTAAATGGCATTATAAACCTTTGAGAACTCTGCAATGGAATCATGAGGTTGGGTAACTTGTGCCAAGGAAAGGGTAGGGTCATGGCTTAAAAGGGAAGGACAGGCTTTTGGTAGGGTGAAGGCATGCCATAGCTTGCCTTTGTGGCACCTAAATGATGCCCAGTCTCTCCAGTTGCTGAGCTGTTAACTGTTGGTTTTATTTTTTGTCTTTTTTCTACAATGCCTATCAAGTTGGGGTTTCAAATAAAATGTTGGGACTTAATTTGGTGGTGCAGGCCTTTAATGCCAACTACCCCAGGCAGTCAAGATAGCAGGATCAGAAATTCAGGGCTTGCCTGGGCTATAGAGTAAGTTCAAGACTATCTTGGGCAAGTTAATGAGATCCCATCTCAAAAGAAATAAAAAAGAGGGGCAGGTAGGAGCATTTGCCAATCCTGAACAAGGCCTTAGGTTCTGTAAAATAAATAACAAGCCAAATTTGATGATATCAGATGATGAGAAAGATGACCATTCCAATGATGGGTGAGGACGGCAGTGTGTGTTTGGTAGAGAGTGGCAGATGATGAGCAAGAAGAGAATCCCTGGCTAAGATATAACAGAGTAGAGTCTGAGGTTCAAACTTGATCTTGCTGCTTGTTGGCTTCATAACTTTGGATGGCGCCAGTCCAGTTTGCCTGTGGTCAAAGTGGAGAGAAAGATTATTCTTCAAAAGAAGGTGTGAGAAATCAGAGCTAATGCATGTGGCACATGTCTCAAATACATGTCATGTGAAAACCCTGGCCCCTGATCCACAATCCCAGGGGCATTCTGAGGAACTCTTCTTCTGTTCCTTTCCAGGTGCCTCTGGCTCACAACATTTATGGTCTCATTGGCCCTAATGCAGGCCTTGGCTTTGCCATAGGTAAGTAGTCCCTCAAATTAAAAAACAAAACAGCCCTTGAAAACTCTTTTCCTCCCCATCTTCCCACCATAAGAGGGAAGTGGAAAGGCAGGAATGGAGAGAAGCTGGCAGATGAACAGAGCTGGGCATGTGGTTCCTACCTGGGCCTGTGTTGGTGCTGCGCATGGGGACAGCAGGCCAGGGAGTCAGAGTGGACGGAGATGCTGACGCTTTGGGTAAGCTGACTACACATTCCTGCTTGTTCCGGCCACAGGCATGGTGGATTCCTCTTTGATGCCCATCATGGGATACCTGGTGGACCTACGTCACACCTCTGTGTATGGGAGTGTCTACGCCATCGCCGATGTGGCTTTCTGCATGGGCTTTGCTATTGGTATGTTGGCTGGGGGCAGATGAGAGCTCCCAGGCCCAAGTAGCCTACTTTGCCCTCTCCATTGTAGCTTACCTGGGTGTAGAACCAGGGAAATTAGTTGAATTTACAGCTGTGGTTATCCACTATGCCTAGCATACTGTTTTATAGGGGACGGATTCAACAAACACTTGGAATTTTATTTTTCCTCAGGTCCATCTACCGGGGGTGCCATTGTACAGGTCATCGGCTTCCCTTGGCTCATGGTCATCATTGGTGTCATCAATATCATCTATGCCCCTCTCTGCTGCTTCCTGCAGAACCCCCCAGCTAAGGAGGAGAAGCTAGTAAGGCACCCTGAGGGCTGAATGATATGCATGTCTGTTTCTTCCTGTGGTTCCCCTGACCCTTCCCTTTGACCTCATTTCCTCTCTCTTTTGCAGCATTTCTGTTCTTCCTAACACACTATTCTTCCTTTCGTTCTTCACTTTCCCTTCTTTCTCCAGGCGACTAGGTCCCCTATTATCTGGATCTTAAGAAGGAAAATGGGGAGAAGGCATGGTCACACACATTGAGAAATAAAGATAGTAGGTTAGAAGCTGAAGTCATTCCCAATTACATATGGATTAAAGGTTAGCCTGGTCTTCAAAAGACCTACTAATGAAAAATTCAAAACAAAAGTAAACTAAACTAAAAAGAAAAGGAAAAAAAAGTGAGACCCTTACTAAGAGTTAGGGATATTGGCTGTAAAAGGCATCCATGCTTCCTACAGCAGGACTCAGTTTACTAAGCTGTGTCTTCTAGAAATAGCAGCATTCCACTGACTGCATTCACTCACTCACTCACTCACTCACTCACTCACTCACTCACTCACACGCTCATGTGTTTCAGTCTGGTGATGTATTTTTTACAATTTAATTTTATTTGATTTATGTTTGCCTGTGTATGGTGCATGGAAGTTAGTGTATAAGAGGAAGGTGTTGACTTCTCTTATTCTTTGCCTTGAGACAGGCACTCTCAGTGTCCTAAAGCCTTGCCCTTTGGTCTGGGCTGGCTGTCTAGAGAGCTCCCAAGGCCTGCCCATCTCTGGGCCAGCACTAGGGTTATAGGCTTATGACCACGCACACTCATTTATATGGGCGCTGGGCACGCAAGCTCAGTCCTTATGCTTGCAGAGTTAAGGGTTCATACCTACTCACTTAGGTTATGTCTTTTTCCCTTACTTTTTCTATTTTTTATTGATTTTTATTGAGCTCTACATTTTTCTCTCCTCCCCTCCTTTCTCTCCCCTCCCCTTCAACCCTCTCCCATGGTCCCCATGCTCCCAATTTACTCAGAAGATCTTGTATTTTTCTACTTCCCATGTAGATTAGATCCATGTATGTCTCTTTTAGGGTCCTCATTGTTGTCTAGGTTCTCTGGGGTTGTGATTTTCTTTGCTTTATGTTTAAAACCACATATGAGTGAGTACATATGATATGTGTATTTATGGGTCTGGGTTACCTCACTCAGTATGATGTTTTCTAGATCCATTTATTTGCCTGCAAATTTCAAGATGTTATTTTTTTTCTGCTGTGTAGTACCCCATTGTGTAAATGTACTGTATTTTCCTTATCCATTCTTCAGTTGAGGGGCATTTAGGTTGTTTCCAGGTTCTGGCTATGATAAACAATGCTGCTATGAATATAGTTGGGCACATGTCCTTGTGACACAGTTGAGCATCCTTTGGATATATACCCAAAAGTGTTATTGCTGGCTCTTGAGGAAGGTTGTTTCCTAATTTTCTGAGAAATCGCCAGACTGACATTCAAAGGGGTTGTACCAGCTTGCACTCCCATCAGAAATGCAGAAGTGTTCCCTTTTCCCCAGAACCTCTCCAGCATAAGTTGTCATGAGTGTTTTTTTATCTTGGCCATTCTTACAGATGTAAGATGGAATCTCAGAGTTGTTTTGATTTGCATTTCTCTGACGGCTAAGGATGTTGAGCCCTTAAGTGTCTTTCAGCCATTTTAGATTCCTCTGTTGTGATTCTCTGTTTAGGTCTATACTCCATTTTTAAAGTTGGATTATTTGTTCTTTTGATGACCAATTTCTTGAGTTCTTTGTATATTTTGGAAATCAGACCTCTGTTTGATGTGGGGTTAGTGAAGATCTTTTCCCATTCTGTAGGCTGCCATTTTGTCTTGTTGCCCATGTCCTTTGCTTTACAGAAGCTTTTCAGTTTCAGGAGGTCCCATTTATTAATTGTTTCTCTCAGTGTCTGTGCTACTAGGGTTATATTTAGGAAGTGGTCTCCTGTGCCAATGCATTTAAGTGTACTTCCCACTTTCTCTTCTCTGAGGTTCAGTGTGGCTGGCTTTATGTTGAGGTCTTTGATCCATTTGGACTTGAGTTTTGTGCATGGTGATAGATATGAATCTATTTTCATTCTTCTACATGTTGATATACAGTTATGCCAGCACCATTTGTTAAATATGCTTTCTTTTTTCCATTTTATATTTTTTGCTTCTTTGTCAAAAATCAGGTGTTTGTAGGTGTGTGGATTAATATCTGAGTCTCGATTTGGTTCCATAGGTCTTCCTGTCTGCTTTTATGCCAATACCAGGCTGTTTTCAGTACTGTAGCTCTGTAGTAGAGTTTGAAGTCAGGTATTGTGATGCCTCTTTTGTTGTACAGGGTTGTTTTGGCTATCTTCAGTTTCTTGTTTTTCCATGTGAAGTTGAGTATTGTTCTTTCAATGTCTGTGAAGAATTTTTCTGCGATTTTGGTTGGCATTGCATTGAATCTGTAGATTGCTTTTGGTAAGATTGCCATTGCTATGTTAATTCTACCTACCCAAGAACATGGGAGATCGTTCCACTTTCTGATGTCTTCTTCAGTTTCTTTCTTCAAAGATTTAAAATCTTGTCATACAAGTTTGGTTAGAGTTACTCTGAGATATTTTATGCTATTTGTGGCTATTGTGAAGGGTGATGTTTTTCTGATTTTGTTCTCAGCCCATTTATCATCTGTGTAAAGGAGGGCTACTGAGTTTTTTTGAGTTAATCTTGTATCCTGCTACATTACTGAAAGTGTTTATGAGTTGTAGAAGTTCTTTGGTAGAATTTTTGGGCTCACTTATGTAAACTATCATATCATCAGCAAATAGTGAGAGTTTGACTTCTTTTCTGATTTGTATCCCCTTGATCTCTTTTTGTTGTCTTACTGCTCTAGCTAGAACATCAAGAACTATATTGAATAGATACGGAGATAATGGACAACTTTGTCTTATTCCCAACTTCAGTGGGATCTCTGTGAATTTTTCTCCATTTAGTTTGATGGTGGCTGTTGACTTGCTGTATATCGCCTTTATTATGTTTAGGTCTGTTCCTTGTATCCCTGCTCTCTCCAAGACCTTTATCATGAAGGGTTGTTGTATTTTATCAAAGGCTTTTTCAGCATCTAATGAGATGATCATGTGGTTTTTATTTTTCAGTTTGCTTATTTGGTGGATTACATTAAATAGATTTTCATATGTTGAACCATCCGTGCATCTCTGGGATCAAGTTGACTTGGTCATGATGGATGATAGTTCTGATATGTCCTTGGATTCAATTTGCCAGTATTTTATTTAGTATTTTTGCATCAATGCTCATAAGTGAGATTGGTCTGTAATTCTCTTTCTTAGTAATGTCTTTATGTGGTGTGGGTATCAGGATAATCGTAACCTCATAAAATGAGTTTGGCAATGTTCCTTCTGTTTCTATTGTGTGGAACGATTTGAGTAGTATTGGTATTAGTTCTTCTTTGAAAATCTTGGAGAATTCTAAGGTGAAACCATCTGGTCCTGGGCTTTTTTTGGTTGGGAGACTTTTGATGACTGTTTCTATATCTTTAGCAGTTACTAGTCTATTTAATTTGCTTACCTGGTCTTGATTTAATTTTGGTAAGTGATTTTTATCCAGAAAGTTGTCCATTTCCTGTAAGTTTTCTAATTTTGTAGATTACAGGTTTTTGAAATATGACCTGATGATTCTCTGGAGTTCTTCCATGTCTGATGTTATGCCCCCTTTTCATTTCTGACTTTGTTAATTTGAATATTCTCTCTCTGCCTTTTGGTTAGTTTGGATAAAGGTTTTGTTGATTTTCTTGAAGAATCAACTCTTTGTCTCCTTGATTCTTTGTATTGTTTTGTTTGTTTCTATTTTGTTGATTTCAGCTCTTAATTTGATTATTTCCTGCTGTCTAGTTCTCTTGGGTGAGTTTGCTTCTTTTTGTTCTAATGTTTTCAAATGTTCTGTTTATTCACTAGTATAGGATTTTTTTTCAGCTTTTTTATGTAGGCATTTAGTGCTATGAACTTTCCTCTTAACACTGCTTTCACTGTATCCCATAAATTTGGGTATGTTTTGTGGTCATTTTCATTGAATTTTAGGAAGTCTTTAATTTCCCCCTTTATTTCTTCCTTGGCCCATTGATGCTTCAGGTGAGCATTGTTTAATTTCCATGTGTTTATGGTCCTTCTGGAATTAGTGTTGCTGTTGAATTCTAATTTTAAGCCACAGTAATCCAATAAGATACATGGGTTATTCCAATTCTATTGTATCTGTTGAGACTTGTTTTGTTACCGAGCATGTGGTGAAATTAGAAAAAAAATAGTCTCCAGGTAGAAAGATCCTGCACACTGTATTACTTAGTTAATATGGTATTTAATGGTATTTAGTACTTCTTGTAGCATGAATACCCCAGCAGCCCTTTTGGGCCTCCTGTATTCAGGAAGGATATAGCTGCTCAAAGGAACAGGAGTAGGCAGAGAGGCTTAGAGAGAGGAGTGCCCATCACATCCAGCTTCTTGCTATGCCTTGATTCAAGCACAAGTGTATCAGATATTTGTCCTGATGAGACTTAATAACGCTCAGGACCTTGAAAGGCCCAAGCCTACCCATGAGGCAGAAAGAGAATGCTATACTTACATCTTGAGTTCTTCTGACACTAAGCTTGGATATGCTAGTTTCTTTTCCAAGAAATGGATGGTCAAAGATATGCAGTAATATTTATACTTCTCTCTTGCTGTAGGCTATTCTCAGCCAGGAATGTCCCATGGAGAACCAGCTGTATGCAACCCAGAAGCCCACAAATGAGTTTCCCTTGGGGGAGAACAGCGATTATTCTGGCAGTGAGGAGTAGCTGATACCTGAATCCCATCCAGATGACTCCGTAAGGCTTGGATTCCAGTGACCACCTGTTCGCCAGGGACCAGACCACTGTGGAGCATTCAACGGGTTTTCTTTTTCCTTTCATCTGGTTGTCTCCCTTTCTCCCTTCTCATTGATGGCTTGCCCGTACTCACCTGTGCCACCTACCACTCTCCCTCTGTGCTTTGATAGCCTAGGTGGCCCACTTTTTGTGGGAGGACAGTGCTGCTTCCTGCCAGACCAAAGTGAGGCTGATTAAAGTTGAGTTGTGACAAGTTCTGCAAGGGCTGACTCACTTCCTGCAGGCAATGATGAACAATGAGCCTGTGGAACCAGAGGGACAAATGGCAAGCCTTGCTTTGCTCCCTGGTTTTCTCTGACATATTTCCAACAGGTCATGAGATTTGATCTCTGTCCTGTGATATTCCCCTTCCAATTTTCCCAGTTAAGCTTCAATATATAGTCTTTTACTTATTTAAGAAATTATATATCTATATATGAGTATATATACACACACACATATATATATATATATACTCATATATATTGACATGTAGGTGTATGTGCTAAAATGACCTCACCCTCATTAAATGAAGTCTTACTAATGTTTTCATTACATAATCAAAAGAAAATAAACAACTTTCTTAGGCTTGAGTGACATCCGTTTTTGTGATTTCTCATGTATATTTGTATCTTTCCCGAACTTCTTAAACTCTTAAAAATAAAACTAGTTGAAGGACAGAAAATAACAAAACAAACCAACCAACCAAAACTAACCCCATTATTAGGCTCAAGAGTTCTCTGTGTGAAGCAAAAAGAAACTTGAAATGTCTCCCAATGTGTGTTTCCTAATACTAGGAGTAGAATAAGTCGTTCATTGTTCACACGTGTCAATGAGTAAGTCAGCATCCAATTCAGACATGATAAGCCAGATGCCTCTTTGTGGCAGAGGGTGTGTGGGAAAATAAAGTGGGTGTTGTAAGTCGCATGAAATTTTGTATGTTTTTGAAATGGTTATTGGGCGATAGAGCCTCAAGGATATGGGAGCCACGGCACTCACCCTAAGTAGTTCTCATTTGTCTAAGCAAACAGAATAAAATTTACAAACAACCCAAGTTAGCATATGCTATTTATGCATGCTCAGGTCTGGGTGGGAGATAAACGCAGAGAAGGGGGTGGAGAAAGGATGCTGTGGAGTGCCTTGATGTTCGACAGGGGTGTTCAGACTTGACCTGGAGTGACACCTGGATTGCTGTGTTCTTCCCTGGGAGCTGAACAGGTTCAGGACAAACCCTGATTCATTAGAGCACATGTTGGCTGGCTCTCAGTGAATCTGTGTCACTTGGACAATAAGTATGTGATTAGTAGATGTGTTTGGGGGAGTCTGGCTTTAAACTAGACTTCCTTGGTTTGCAGAACCAGATAGACTTGTATCATTTAGTGCAGATGACATGCTTCTCACATTACAAAGACATCTACGGTCAAATTAGCAAATTATTTACCTGAATGTCTAAGCCATAGTTCCCGATGAAGGGGGGAGGGGGGAAAGAGAGAGAGAGAGAGAGAGAGAGAGAGAGAGAGAGAGAGAGAGAACATGCAGGCCACGGGAGCTTTAACAAGGGAAGGGAGGGAGCATATCCATGTGGGTGGGGTTTGTAATAAAAGTCATGCTTGTTACAGGGACAGCTAATGTACATTTCGAAACAAAGGAAGGATTTAACAGGCGTTATCTCGAGGATAAACTTAATCTTTATTAGTGGGCCTGTAAGGAACCAGAGAAGAATTTATGGTAAGGATCAGACATTGGCAGGTCTTCAAAAGCTGAAAATGTCAACCCAGTGAGAACGAGACTCAAGGCTTTTTCTGTAAAAGCAGCAGCTGTTCCAAGCAGCAGATGATCTGCCCCATGGAACAACTGAAACGTACTTTTCTCCTCAGAAATGGAGGCAGCTCAAAGAACACACAATGATGGTCAAACAAAGAAGGCCGAAGAAAATGCCAGAAAGATGTTGGACAGTCTCAGAGTGGAGACAGCCTGGAAGGCTTCGTTCTCCAGTGCAGAGGTGTAGCACGTCTGCATCTCATGGGAGGAGAGGCAGACAGTAGGAGTTGGAGAAAACAGAGAAGCTAAGTGGGGTGATGGCAGGGAAAGTCTCCGTATGGGGAGGAACCCAAGTCCAAGAAGCTAAGTTAACGTGGCGTACACCTTCCAGAAAGGTCTGGCTATCGTGGCCTCAGAACCTCAGGCTGTTTCACAGTGGAGTCGCCCTACAGTGTCAGTGAGCTCAGGCTGGTGTGACTTGAAGAACAGCCTCTCTCAGTGTGTTGTCTCACTCATGGGGTTCATCCTTCCATGGTAAGGCGTGAGCTGCAGCAGTGACTGTTAGAGAAACATTGCACTCTGTCACGTGTGTGTGTAAGTCCTCTGAGGCTGACATGAAGGAAGGGCAATGTAACCTGTCCACATAGCACTTCAGATGCGCACAGATGGCATGCAGCCGGAAATCTTAGGGGTCTCTAGTGCTTGTTTGTTGTAGCTGGGTGGGCAGAACTTCACGGGCCATCACCACGACCCATATAGATTATGCAATTTGGGTCTCGGAATTCACCCTACAACCTTGTGTACAAGACAAACACCCTCTGGATCATGGGAGAGTACAGCCAGAGAATTCTCCAGTTAGGTAGGAATAAACACAGTGTTAGGTTTGAATATGAAATCTCCCCTCATGTGTTAAATACTTGGTCCCACTTCATGGTGTTATTTTTTAGGAGGTTGCATAAATGGTAAGGTGAGGCCCAGTTGGAGGATGTGTGTCACAGTTGTGGGGGGTCTTTTAAGGGGCTATCTTGTACTGGGTCCTTCCTGGTCTTCTGCTTCATGCCCACCTTTAGATGAATCAGGACCTCTGCCATGCACCATCCTGACATTCTGCCCCATATGTAGGGCTGTTAGCCCCAGGCTGGGACTCTCTGAGACCAGGAGCCTTCAGTGGTCCTTGCAGGGGTTAGTCACAGTGTAAGAAAGCTGACTAATCACGCATCTCCCTGTCCTACCGGTCTCTGTTCCCGGACATTGTCCTTTGCCATCTGTGCCGAAGCACCCCTTCTGCAGACATGGCTTTCTGTGTTTACTCTGTGTGTGTGATATTTTAGGATGGCTTCCAGACAGTCGGGGACAGGGCCTTGGTGAAGAAAGAGCCTTTAGTGACACTGAGAAACAGCCAGCACTGCACCACCACCTCAGAACCACAATTGTGACCCTCCCCTCCTTTTCTTCGCTCCTCTCCTTCCTCTGTACTTCCACGTCTCCTTTTCCTTCTTCTGCTCTTACCTGCCTTCCTTCTTCTTCACTCCTTCCTGTTCTTCTTTCTCTTCCTCCTCCTTTTATTCTTGATCTAGAGAATGAGGAACACAGTGCCAGCAGAGGCAGAGAGTGATCGCGGTCTGTTCAGATTTGTCCTCCAGGTCTCCGGAATGAAGATACTTTAGTCAGTGGTGGATTCAACATGATAGTGGGCCCATGAGATTGTAATAAAGTTCAAATATTCCCATCTCCCGGTGATTTTGATCTTAATAGCACACTTGTCTGTGGAGATACTGTTCATATAAAGCTTCCATGCCAGCCATATCAAAGTTGAGCACAGTTAATGTGTGTGATGTTTAATAATGACAATAAACAGCTATATTAGTGGGCTTATGTATGTACCATGTTGCACTTTTAAAAGATTTATTTATTTGTGTGTGTATGGCTATTTTGCCTGTGTGTATGACTGAGTACCATGTGTTCATCTGATGTCTTTGGAGGCCAGAAGAGAACATCAGATCCCCTGAAACTGGAGTTACAGAAGGTTGTGAGTGTTCTTGTGGTTGCAAGGAAAACAACTCAGGTCCTCTGGAAGAGCAGACTTTCTTAACCACTGAGCCATCTCTCTAGCCCCTGTGGTATATCTTTTATAATGATTATATATACACATAGACACAGACACACACAGACATGCCAGCCCTTCTTAGCCTTATTCCCCAGGGGAAAGTGAGTGCACTATCTGCCCGTTCCACAGCCCCACAATACAGGACGATCAGACGTGATAGGGAGTCACATCAAAGCAGGAACTCAGTTTATTACCGTGAGTGTCAGTTTATATAGGTTAAGTGACATGGTGTGATGTGGGGGTACCTCCAACCAATGAGAGGCAGCCAACCCCTCCCTCTGGCTGGAGGAGCATCTAGCTAGATTTTGCTGTCTCGTCCTCATTTGGTAGCTTTAAGACTACCCTTCAAACTCGAGCCAGGCTTTTCTCCATCCTACAGGCCTCCAGGTACAGGCTCTGAGATAATTTGGGCCCAACACAGATACACACAGACCCACACCACACACACACACACACACACACACACACACACACACACACACACGCACATTTGAGACAGGGTCTTCTATAGCCTGGCTGGCCTTGAACTTCTGACCCTCCTTCCTTAATCTCCAGCGTGAGTGCTGGGATTGCAGGCACGCGGTACTACACTTTGCTTATATTAGGGCCTAGGATGGGACCCGTAGCTTTGTGCATCTGACATGAACTCCATCTGCAGCCCTTACTCAAAATATTTAAAACAGCTCCAGGTAGGTCCTCTAGGATGATTCAGAAGGGTTCAGGCATTGTTATTGTAGCGGTGATGTCAGCTCCATGCAAGCTTTTGCATCTGGAGACCTTCCAGGGAGAAAAAGGTAGAAGACAGTGATCCTGACCCTCCACAGGCCTGGCTAATTTTTTTTATTTTAAAAGGTTTTAAAATAAAAATTTAAATTTGAAAGTAGTAACAAATTTATATAATGAGTGCATAAAGACAGAACTTATTTTTGTTTGTTAGAGGCATGTTGTAGATGGTTTTCCCAAGTGACATAAGTTTACCTTGACCTCACAACAGTCCTGCCCCAGCCTTCTGACTGCTGTAATCACAGTCACGCATGACTGTGCTCATCTAGAAAAACATATTTGTATACTTGTACAGGCCATTTGTTTTTTAGCTAAGTATTTTTTGAAAAAAATATTTTTAAAATCCAGAAAAGTTAGAATCTTTTTAAAGTAAAAAATTAGAGAAACCTAAATTAGTTTATTGTTTAAAATAATTAAAAAATTAATATAGTGAAGCTCATCAAGTCTTCCAATTCCCTTCTCACCCAGTCCCTGACTCCCAGAGCATTTTCTAACCCTGCAAGCCCCATTAAGGGAAGCGCCCCGACGGGAGTGCCATTGCGGCTTTCATATTGCACAGCCATTCTACCTTTTGTTTATTTGGGTACATTTAGATACTCAAAC